GCAACTCACAACTAGATTTTTGTCATTCGATCTTCTCTTTCACCGCAGTTTTTTCAAATCTATTACACTTTTTGTTATTTTGCTACCGTAGAAATTAATAAAACTAGGACTAAATAATCCAGCCAGGTCTTTCAAAAAAATTAATTTATTTTACTTGCATTTAGCAATATTCAAACAAGCTGATTCGCAACTCACAACTAGATTTTTGTCATTCCATCTTCTCTTTCACCGCAGTTTTTTCAAATCTTTTACACTTTTTGTTATTTTGCTACCGTAGAAATTAATAAAACTAGGACTAAATAATCCAGCCAGGTCTTTCAAAAAAATTAATTTATTTTACTTGCATTTAGCAATATTCAAACAATCTGATTCGCAACTCACAACTAGATTTTTGTCATTCGATCTTCTCTTTCACCGCAGTTTTTTCAAATCTCTTACACTTTTTGTTATTTTGCTACCGTAGAAATTAATAAAACTAGGACTAAATAATCCAGCCAGGTCTTTCACAAAAATTAATTTATTTTACTTGCATTTAGCAATATTCAAACAAGCTGGTTCGCAACTCACAACTAGATTTTTGTCATTCCATCTTCTCTTTCACCGCAGTTTTTTCAAATCTATTACACTTTTTGTTATTTTGCTACCGTAGAAATTAATAAAACTAGGACTAAATAATCCAGCCAGGTCTTTCAAAAAAATTAATTTATTTTACTTGCATTTAGCAATATTCAAACAAGCTGATTCGCAACTCACAACTAGATTTTTGTCATTCCATCTTCTCTTTCACCGCAGTTTTTTCAAATCTATTACACTTTTTGTTATTTTGCTACCGTAGAAATTAGTAAAACTAGGACTAAATAATCCAGCCAGGTCTTTCACAAAAATTAATTTATTTTACTTGCATTTAGCAATATTCAAACAATCTGATTTGCAACTCACAACTAGATTTTTGTCATTTGATCTTTTCATTTACCGCAGTTTTATCAAATCTCTTACACTTTTTGTTATTTTGCTACCGTAGAAATTAATAAAACTAGGACTAAATAATCCAGCCAGGTCTTTCACAAAAATTAATTTATTTTACTTGCATTAAGCAATATTCAAACAAGCTGGTTCGCAACTCACAACTAGATTTTTGTCATTCGATCTTCTCTTTCACCGCAATTTTTTCAAATCTCTTACACTTTTTGTTATTTTGCTACCGTAGAAATTAATAAAACTAGGACTAAATAATCCAGCCAGGTCTTTCAAAGAAATTAATTTATTTTACTTGCATTTAGCAATATTCAAACAAGCTGATTCGCAACTCACAACTAGATTTTTGTCATTCGATCTTCTCTTTCACCGCAGTTTTTTCAAATCTCTTACACTTTTTGTTATTTTGCTACCGTAGAAATTAATAAAACTAGGACTAAATAATCCAGCCAGGTCTTTCAAAAAAATTAATATATTTTACTTGCATTGAGCAATATTCAAACAAGCTGATTCGCAACTCACAACTAGATTTTTGTCATTCGATCTTCTCTTTCACCGCAGTTTTCTCAAATCTCTTACACTTTTTGTTATTTTGCTACCGTAGAAATTAATAAAACTAGGACTAAATAATCCAGCCAGGTCTTTCAAAAAAATTAATATATTTTACTTGCATTGAGCAATATTCAAACAAGCTGATTCGCAACTCACAACTAGATTTTTGTCATTCGATCTTCTCTTTCACCGCAGTTTTCTCAAATCTCTTACACTTTTTGTTATTTTGCTACCGTAGAAATTAATAAAACTAGGACTAAATAATCCAGCCAGGTCTTTCAAAAAAATTAATTTATTTTACTTGCATTTAGCAATATTCAAACAAGCTGATTCGCAACTCACAACTAGATTTTTGTCATTCGATCTTCTCTTTCACCGCAGTTTTCTCAAATCTCTTACACTTTTTGTTATTTTGCTACCGTAGAAATTAATAAAACTAGGACTACATAATCCAGCCAGGTCTTTCAAAAAAATTAATATATTTTACTTGCATTGAGCAATATTCAAACAAGCTGATTCGCAACTCACAACTAGATTTTTGTCATTCGATCTTCTCTTTCACCGCAGTTTTCTCAAATCTCTTACACTTTTTGTTATTTTGCTACCGTAGAAATTAATAAAACTAGGACTAAATAATCCAGCCAGGTCTTTCAAAAAAATTAATATATTTTACTTGCATTGAGCAATATTCAAACAAGCTGATTCGCAACTCACAACTAGATTTTTGTCATTCGATCTTCTCTTTCACCGCAGTTTTCTCAAATCTCTTACACTTTTTGTTATTTTGCTACCGTAGAAATTAATAAAACTAGGACTAAATAATCCAGCCAGGTCTTTCAAAAAAATTAATATATTTTACTTGCATTTAGCAATATTCAAACAAGCTGGTTCGCAACTCACAACTAGATTTTTGTCATTCCATCTTCTCTTTCACCGCAGTTTTTTCAAATCTATTACACTTTTTGTTATTTTGCTACCGTAGAAATTAATAAAACTAGGACTAAATAATCCAGCCAGGTCTTTCAAAAAAATTAATTTATTTTACTTGCATTTAGCAATATTCAAACAAGCTGATTCGCAACTCACAACTAGATTTTTGTCATTCCATCTTCTCTTTCACCGCAGTTTTTTCAAATCTATTACACTTTTTGTTATTTTGCTACCGTAGAAATTAGTAAAACTAGGACTAAATAATCCAGCCAGGTCTTTCACAAAAATTAATTTATTTTACTTGCATTTAGCAATATTCAAACAATCTGATTTGCAACTCACAACTAGATTTTTGTCATTTGATCTTTTCATTTACCGCAGTTTTATCAAATCTCTTACACTTTTTGTTATTTTGCTACCGTAGAAATTAATAAAACTAGGACTAAATAATCCAGCCAGGTCTTTCACAAAAATTAATTTATTTTACTTGCATTAAGCAATATTCAAACAAGCTGGTTCGCAACTCACAACTAGATTTTTGTCATTCGATCTTCTCTTTCACCGCAATTTTTTCAAATCTCTTACACTTTTTGTTATTTTGCTACCGTAGAAATTAATAAAACTAGGACTAAATAATCCAGCCAGGTCTTTCAAAGAAATTAATTTATTTTACTTGCATTTAGCAATATTCAAACAAGCTGATTCGCAACTCACAACTAGATTTTTGTCATTCGATCTTCTCTTTCACCGCAGTTTTTTCAAATCTCTTACACTTTTTGTTATTTTGCTACCGTAGAAATTAATAAAACTAGGACTAAATAATCCAGCCAGGTCTTTCAAAAAAATTAATATATTTTACTTGCATTGAGCAATATTCAAACAAGCTGATTCGCAACTCACAACTAGATTTTTGTCATTCGATCTTCTCTTTCACCGCAGTTTTCTCAAATCTCTTACACTTTTTGTTATTTTGCTACCGTAGAAATTAATAAAACTAGGACTAAATAATCCAGCCAGGTCTTTCAAAAAAATTAATATATTTTACTTGCATTGAGCAATATTCAAACAAGCTGATTCGCAACTCACAACTAGATTTTTGTCATTCGATCTTCTCTTTCACCGCAGTTTTCTCAAATCTCTTACACTTTTTGTTATTTTGCTACCGTAGAAATTAATAAAACTAGGACTAAATAATCCAGCCAGGTCTTTCAAAAAAATTAATTTATTTTACTTGCATTTAGCAATATTCAAACAAGCTGATTCGCAACTCACAACTAGATTTTTGTCATTCGATCTTCTCTTTCACCGCAGTTTTCTCAAATCTCTTACACTTTTTGTTATTTTGCTACCGTAGAAATTAATAAAACTAGGACTACATAATCCAGCCAGGTCTTTCAAAAAAATTAATATATTTTACTTGCATTGAGCAATATTCAAACAAGCTGATTCGCAACTCACAACTAGATTTTTGTCATTCGATCTTCTCTTTCACCGCAGTTTTCTCAAATCTCTTACACTTTTTGTTATTTTGCTACCGTAGAAATTAATAAAACTAGGACTAAATAATCCAGCCAGGTCTTTCAAAAAAATTAATATATTTTACTTGCATTGAGCAATATTCAAACAAGCTGATTCGCAACTCACAACTAGATTTTTGTCATTCGATCTTCTCTTTCACCGCAGTTTTCTCAAATCTCTTACACTTTTTGTTATTTTGCTACCGTAGAAATTAATAAAACTAGGACTACATAATCCAGCCAGGTCTTTCAAAAAAATTAATATATTTTACTTGCATTGAGCAATATTCAAACAAGCTGATTCGCAACTCACAACTAGATTTTTGTCATTCGATCTTCTCTTTCACCGCAGTTTTCTCAAATCTCTTACACTTTTTGTTATTTTGCTACCGTAGAAATTAATAAAACTAGGACTAAATAATCCAGCCAGGTCTTTCAAAAAAATTAATATATTTTACTTGCATTGAGCAATATTCAAACAAGCTGATTCGCAACTCACAACTAGATTTTTGTCATTCGATCTTCTCTTTCACCGCAGTTTTCTCAAATCTCTTACACTTTTTGTTATTTTGCTACCGTAGAAATTAATAAAACTAGGACTAAATAATCCAGCCAGGTCTTTCAAAAAAATTAATATATTTTACTTGCATTTAGCAATATTCAAACAAGCTGATTTGCAACTCACAACTCGATTTTTGTCATTCGATCTTCTCTTTCACGGCAGTTTTTTCAAAACTCTTTTTCTTTATATATATTCCTAGATAAGTTTTTTTGGGCTCGGCAGCTGGCTTTAAATTTTTTTAGAGTAGATCGTAGTGAATAGCTTTAAATATTAATCGGACAGATTGTTCTAAGTTATTGTAATGATAAACATTAATAGAAAACATAATTCTAAATTTTCATAGAATTTATTCGATTTATTCAAGAAAATTAACACGTTTATTTTATTTAAAAAAAAATAATCGCCTCATACATGCGGAACAAATTTATAAATATTAATTTCTCTTTTCTTTTTTTCTTTTTCAGAAACATCCTTTTAGCAAGTAGCGAAAAGACTTGCAAGCGGTGAAGAGGTGAAGACCAAAGTCATGAGCCGCCTGTACTGTGAGCCGAGTTCACATGACTCACGTGACTGGCCAGCCGCCAATCGAGAGGACACCTTTTTCTTCCTCACGCTTGCAGAACTTCTTGCTTGTGTAGACGTCGGAGGCGACTTGAAACCACATGGTCGCAAATTTGAGCGCTTCCAGAAGTACTTTTCCATCAACTCCTACTCGGGAGAAGAAACATCAGTGAAGCCGTTGAGGTCGAGAAGAGTGGTAATATAATATTATATAATTTAGCGTTTAATCCATTTTGTAAAATCGACTCGATGGATATAATAATTAGTATAAATCGAAGCTGGCTGTTTTTTTTTTTTTAAGAATTTACTCGTCGTCATTCGAACGAATGTATAAAATTTAAAAAATTTGGGAACAAACATTTCCGCGCATTACACAGCAGCGCGCAATTCCGCTGCGTGCCAAACATAATCTATTATCCAGATATATTTGTGTTTTGTCCTTTCTTGTTTTGGGTGCCTTGGGTGGTCACAAAATTTCGTTGAGAGTAGTAAAATTTCATACTTCTCGTGTACCAATGGTTCTTGAGAAGGCGCTCTAAATCTCTTAAGGAATTCTTATTGACATATCAAATCAAGTCCTTGCAACAATATTAAACAGATTTTTGCGATTGTTGAAAGACAATTGGAAATTTTAATCACCATTGTTGTAAAGACTTGATTTGACTGTGTCAATAAGGAGTCCTTAAAAATAAAAATGCTTCAAATGACTTTTTCATATCAAGGAGATGTAAAACTTTATGGGATTTGTTAAATTAATATGGAATATTAAAAGTAATACAATTTGTTTTAATCATCATTATTATTATTATTGTGATTTTATATCAACTGCTTTTTTCCTCTATTTGTAAGTTTTTAACAATAGGAAAAATGTTTGTGCAACCTACAGGGAAACGTTTTCAACACGCAAAAAAGTTAACGATTTTTTAACACCAATCGACTTCTCGCGTTGCCCTGATGAACCAAAAATATTATTTTCAGCCGATCTTAAACGGCCGCTTCGGTAAAGCGGCCGAAAGTTGGCGATTTTCAGCTTATGCAGGCCCGCTTCACTTGCCCTGGAGCTCGACGCTTTGCAATCTTTGCTCGCAGCGAGCACGCACCGACCTGTTCAGCAAGCACACCGCTGGCGAGTCGTATGCGGTGCATACTTGCTGCGCTCTGCACTAATCGGCTATTTAAAAATATTTCCAACATTTTAATATATACTCTCTATAGTTTTATTTCATGTGTTAATAAAATGAAAAAATCTTTACATGAAAAATAAAAAAAAATAAACATTTTCTTGTGCAACTTTTATTATTTTCTTTCCAAATTAAAAATTACAATTTACTAAGTACTAAGGATTGCCTTGTTATTGATTAATTATAAATGCATTTTTTTTTTGCTAATCTCACTAGGTACACATTATATAATTATATTGAAATTTCACATCTTCTATGCTGGTCTCTTCAATTTCTTGCAAGGTCACTTCAGCTCCTTTGTTTGCTGATTCTGGTAAGAGCCCTGCATATGAGAGGCCAAATTTTAACGAAGTTTTCAAATTTTTAATTAAAAAAAAAAAAAAAAAATTACAAGCTATTGCAAAACTTTCTAATTTCATTATTTTTATAATAATTATTATTACAAGAAATATTATAGAAATAAATTTCTCACTGAATTCAAAATAATTTTCATCAAAAGAAGTAAGGAATATTTGTCTCTTGAAATTTCGTTCATTGCTCTCGTAAAGGGAAGTTTTCTGATTGTGAGTATCTAGAAAATAAAATATTTTATAATATTGATTAATCTTTCATCATTCAAAATATTATTTAAAATTGTAAAATAATAGTTCCTTCAGCATTATTTAAAGATGGCATTAAAAGAAAATTGATGAAAATCAAATTAAGATCCAACCTGCAACTGTCGCACATTCATTTTCAGGCGGCTCGTAATTCTCATGGAGCTCTTGATATTTGGAAAGACAGAAGCTGTCAAGAATGATGAGAAACTCTCTGAGCAATATACACCTGACGGCTTAATTTTATTTAAATGGTGAAGAAACGTATTAATTTATTTGATTTATAATTGCATGGCACTCATGATTTCTTTTATTGTCAAATCATAATACTTGGCAAAAATATTTTAACTTCTATGAATAGAATACTTATTATTTTTTTAGTCTCCATTCTCCAGATATTTTGGACTAACAAATCAAAAAGCAATGTGCCTGTCAGGTGCTGAAGAATGAGGATGGTTATCTCTTCAGAGAACAAAAAAGCATTCAATACAATTATAATACTCATTCACTCAATTCGCCATTTAGAAATTTCGTTATTTATTTTTACTTTCCATTTCCACTGTTAAAAATGGAGATAAGGAAACAATTTTTATAAATAATTTTGTGTGTGAGCACAAGGGTTTTTTTTTTTTTAATTTTTTAGTGTGTCGTGTTTGCATTGTTAAGTTTATACCACTTTATGTTTAAATTTTGCAAATAAATTTAACGTGAATTCAGAAACTGAGCGAGAAAACAAATTATTGCTCGGAAAACAAATTAAAATGTCCAAATTTCATCTGTAGATAAAACTGAAATAAAATAAAATATTATATCAAAAGTTTCTTAATGATTCTTATTAAAATGTATCATACAGGGCTCATCTAATTTGATATAATCTTAATCATATATAAAAAAACTTTTTAGTGACTTAATAAATAATGGGCGTCAAGTATCTAAGAAGAATGATTTTATTTTTAATATCCAATAATTTACAACAACCTGTGTGTAGGGCGTAATAATCATAAAGCAGTTCACCTAGAGCGTAAATCTGACGAAGCACGAGGTTCAGATAAGCAATTTCTGCCTCGCGACCCCAGAACATTTGGGCGGTCAGTCCAAGTGGAATTCTCAGTTAAGTCAATCCCTCAGCAAGAGCGCGCGCGTCTTTTAATTACTTTTTCTATATATTTATATAATGTATAGTTATTATTTCTCATGTAACGAAAACATTGTAGAATAACAAAATGGGAGATTGAGTCTTGCACACCAACCACACACCAACAAAAACGTATAACATTGGCTAAAATTTTCTTCTTCACTCCAATCAAACATGAGTGTCGCACAATTCCAGCCTCACAGAGACGGAGACGTTGGGGGCGGCTATCACATTACTGATACTGCTGGGCGCCAAATTGGACAGGGTTGTACATCACAGGGCCCGCCTTAAAAATGATTAGAAAAGCTATTAATAATGGTTTTATTTGTTATTTGTAATGATTTCTATTGGTAACTGCATTCTAGCTAATCAATCACATAATTGGTGTATCATTGCCATGCATATAAACCACGGAAATAACATATAAATAATATATTATTAATATTTATGGTACAGTTAACAATCAATGTATTTTAACTATTTCAGACAAAAAATTACATTTATGAAACTTTGAGACAGAAAAACAGAAAATTCAGTTTTAGATTTTTTATTCTTGAATAAAAAGTAATCTTTTGTAGCTTGCTGTAGACATAAAAATAATCGAAAGTTGTGGTAAAATAAACTAAAATTAAACTACTGCTAAAAAATCAAATATCAAAAATTAAAGTGAATAAATAAATCGCCAATTAACGGAGCCACAATCTTAGGCTGACCAATTACCCGATTGATTTCAAATGTCTGCCAATTCATCCTCAGAAAGCTGCATGCGGGAGGAGCCAAAATTTAAAGAACTTAAACCCGGATGACTGCTGTCAACTCTTACCTGCTGGACTGAATTCTCTGAATCAGAATTTGGCGAAGTCATTGGCGACGAAGCAGGCGTCAAAAATTCTGACGAAGCAGCCCCCTCAACTGCAAAAACAAAATAATGCACGGATGTTAATATTTAACAGTATAAAAAAAATATATTATTTATTGCTAACCTGGAGCAGGCACAAAAAGATTAACTGGGGGCTGAGCTTTAGGGCCGCCCATGCCAGGGAACAGGTCTGTGGGTGCAGCAGATGGGCTCGATGCTGCAGATCCATTCTGCTGTAGAACGTTTACATAGTTTTTCCTCATGTCTGTAAAAAGTGATTAAAGGGTTAAAAAACGTCAAATTTGCTTTGTATTTTTGTATAATATTGGTACTTACTTCGTCCAAGTTTGTATCCCGAGCCTCCAGCTGGAGGTGCTGATAGTGAGGTGTTGTTGTTACTGTTGGGGACTGGAGATGAGACCGGAGTGCTGGAGGCACTGGGTTGCATTCTTGGATTCATTTTGGGGGGAGGAGGAAGGTCGCCGCCAACTTCTGCACCATCTCCATCTTTATTAACCCATTTATTTTTGTCTGCATCCCACACAATCTGTAAGATAACAGCAAAAAAATTAAAATAATTCTTAAGCGACATCAAAATCAATAGAAATTATATTTGTGAAATTAAGGACTTACTGAAGGATTTTTGTCATCTGGAAGTTTCATCTGGTTCTTGGGCCTGAGCGAGATCTTGCTCAGTAGACCTCCAAGCCAGCCACTGCCTTCCTGGCCAGGATTTAGCGCTTGCTGTGGCTTCTTCAGGGGGGTCGTAGGAGTTTTAGAAGCGGCAGGTTTGTTGGACTCTGAAGATGACTCAGACAATGTCTGCTGACGCCTTGAGGGAACCAGCGAGATGTTTGGCTGCAACGAGAGCAACGCAGGGTCACGCCTGACGCCCCTTTGGGACCCCGGGAGCTCAAGGGGCTGGTCAATTGGGAAAGTTTGAGGTTTGCGACTGCATATTGGTCGGTCAATGGGGTAGGTGCCGCCAAAAATGAGGGGACGTTTGCGGTATAGAATGGACGCCTCCAGGTATGACAGGGAAGAGGAATGGTGGTAGTAAGAAGGAGGAGGTGAAGGGAGGCAATTGTCCAAATTTGTTAGGTCAACATTCAGCGGTGAGGGAGGTCGAATGTTATTTCGGGATAAGGGGTGGTGCCGAGGACGACTTTCCTCATAATGAGGAGGAAAGCGATGTCGAGGCTGAGGTGGTTGAGGGATTTCGAGAGGGGTATTTTGGGGCACAAGAGCGTGGTTACTTACAGAGTCACGTTCGGGAGTATTCCTCCCGATGGACTGGCAGCGTGAAAAAGAAGCGCACTTGCAATGAGTAAATTTAATTCATTGTTTGTGAGAGAAAAGTTCCAAAAAAGTATTTGAAGAGTCAGATTATACGGATCATGCTAGCTAATGAGTTTTTCTACAGCCAAAGTAGATAAATAATTACAGCAATTATTTATAATACAATTTTACTTTTATTCTGGAGCAAAAACAGTAACGTCAAATGTGGATATTTGGAGCAAATATAAGATTTACTTTACACCCTAAATTTTTACTGGTATTGCCTATATTATCAATTTAAAGTGCATCAAAATTTCAAATAAATGAAACAAAATAAAATTTAGAAGATCAAAGATTCAAGATAATGTTCTTTAAAAATTAAAAAGCATACTCCAGTTTGTGCAAAAATAAACTTTGACTGGATAATTATAAACAAAAATAAGGTGAATAAGACTTATGTATCAAGCACTATGTAAGTAAGAAATTTCTTAAGTCCTGCCTCCTTGACATGCCTGGCAGCATCTAACTTTCTGAGGAATCAGACCCCAAACTGGGACTCTTGCAAATTTACCTCTGGCTGCTCTGATTGCTGATTAGACTGGTCCCAGTAGTTGTAGCTGTGCTGAGGGGTCGAATTCGCAATTGGCTCTGGGGTCTGCGGAACAGACATCTGAGGCGTCATATGTTGAGGAGTTGTCTGCTGATGGACAGGTGTTTCCGAAGTTGGTGCCTTTTGACTCTCTTCTGTAGCAGACCATGGTTGCTGCTGCCAGTAGTTGTTTTGCTGCGTCATTGTCTCTGAAGCAATGGCAGTTGCTGAGGATTCAAGATGTTTTAAATTAATAAAACTTATTTTAATAATCACGGCAAATCATACTTTCAGTTGTGACAGTGTTGTCAGCCTGGTTTTGCTGTTGCTGTTGCCATTGCGATTGCTGGTAATAGTACTGTTGCCATTGCTCTTGGTAGGCAGTCTCGTCTGGTGTTGGTTGCTGATCAGTTTGTTGACTCTGCTGTGGATGGCTTGAGTAATCCTCATACTGCTCAACATTTTGAATCGCTAGGTGTCTCAAGGAACTCAACCATTCCGGGTCCGAGGAATAAAACGTCACTTCCTCGCCCTACAAAAATTTATATTTATCAAGTTAAATTACGCTTTGAATAAAACTAACCTCTTGAGTAGGACTAAATAATGGATCGCTTTGCTTCAGTTTGTCAGCAAGCTCGGCCACTTGGGCAGCCAATGGTCCGGCTGAATTGTGCATCACTAGAGTGTTGGCCAATTCTTCGCAATACAGAAGTGCCTCAGTTGAGTACCCGTAGTCAATGAGATGACCGGCGTAGAGCAGCTTAAAAGGCTGCAGAGAAGTCACGTAGTATGAGGGCTCGGCAAGACGTCGGGCATATTCGTACACCTCGGTGCACTGAATGGCTTCAATAGTGGCAAACGAGTCAAGCGGAAGAGCAGCTGAAGTGGCCAGAAGACACAATTTTGGTGATGGGTGCTGCCCAAAAGTACCAAAATCAAGCTGAGACAATAAGTAACAAAACTGGGATGCATATAAACAACCACGAGCCGCTGAAACATGTTAAAAAAATAATTAATCATCAATTGAGAAAAAAATTGCTTCTTTGTTCAAGGGAATTTAAATTACCAAGAGTGTCGCCAAGAGTTGTAATGGCTCTGTGGTCAAGGTCAGAACGAGATGATGGATTTGAAAGCATCATGGCCAAATGTGGTTTCCAGTCGCCCCACTTCTCATCTGACACACTCTATAAAAATAAGGGAGTTCAGAAAAGTTTCTTATCAAGTCAAAAATTAGAAAATTACTGTGACCGCAGCAGGTTGTCTTCCAGACATAAGCTGGTACAAAGTTTGCAAAGGATCATTTAGTGACAGCCCGTTTGCAAATCTCGTCATGACACTGGCATAAGTTCGAGCGTCCATTTTGGATGCAAGGAACAATGCGTGGCCCCAAAGGCCATGCTTCATTGCCCAGTCGAGAGCTTCCTTTGTGTTACCAAACAAGAGGAACTGCCGGAATTTTGCGGTTAGTTGATTCTCTGAAAGTCTGCTTTGCGATCGAGGTGCTCGAGACTCATCCTCAGAGTCGGAAGAATCGCTCCGGGAGGAATCATGTGGGCTCCTGGTCAGGTCGGAGTCTTCTAACAGCAACTCGGCAATGTCAGCGCCAACAACAGTCTAAGGGTTTTGGAATTTTTATTATAAATAAGAAAATTATGTGTGTTTGAGTGATTCTCACCCCATTTTGTCTGAGCAAAAGAATCAGGAGTCTCCACAAGAGAATGTACGAGTCTCTATCTAGCATTTCAGGATCCATTTGGGCATTTCTGATTTTTTGACTGCAAAATTGGATGACACTGTTCTTGTGAGTGGTGCCCCTACAGTTGAAATAGTATTTTTTAACTCAAATAATATTTGACAAACTATTTTTTACTTGACAAGGGGTCCTGGGAATGATCGGAGTTCTGAGTTTATTGGGTCGTGGGCCAGCAGTGTCTGCAGGTCGTGCACCAAAACAGTTGCCACTTGGCCTTCGCGAGGGTAGTGGGGCAAAACATGTACAAGGCGGCCCTGGCCACTGATTTTAGCCACTGGGTGAGCGCTCGTAAACTTGGCTGGAGTCAGCCTCTGGATCGGAGCAGGAGAGGGTTGCCGTTCAATAGCATTTGCGCCACTGTAATTATAAATTTCTAGTTTAAATTCTTGTAAATATTTAAATTTAAATTTAGTTTATTAACACTTAGTTTGCTACGCTAGCACAAACACACAATTGTGGTTGCCGAGTCAATGGAATATAGTGATTCTTGTGATAACAACATGATTGAAGGATGCGTAAATTTTTAAGCTTCACATCTATATTCCTCTGCCTCAAGAATTAAAATTGAAGGCAAATAAGGATGAACAAATGGAGTAGGTTCCCAATATAAGGCATGTATTTAATCCTAGAAATGAAATGATTTGGAGCAAAAAAATCTGATATTTTGAGTTAGCAGTCAAATTTTATAAAGTCAAAATTGATCAAACCCTGGGACTTTGGGACGGGTCTGTGGATCATTCACAAGCACCATAGCCATAAACCTGTTTTGAAAAGAAGTTAGTCATTCAATTAGTCCATGCGCTCAACTAAAACAAATTACAATATCCAAGAGAAAACATCAGCTGTTATGAGTGGTGAGGTATTAGTTCTTTTATAGAGGAATTATGGTGGCTTTGATCAACAACTAAAATGAATATAATATATATGATGATTCAAAAAGTATGATTCAGTATGGGATATAATTGCTCCAAGCAATAATTTTTTGTTTATAACTTTGAAAACTTTTAAAATTCTCAAAATATAAAAATTCCCCAATCAATGCAATTGCGCCGGCAAATTCAACGCTCCACTTAAACTTGATTTGGTAAGCAGTGTAGACAGCAGTCAAGCCAGCTTTTTTGGGCATTGACTTTGTATAAGAGTTTGCAGAGAGAGCGGCAAGGCAACTACTCAATAAGACAAAATAACCTGGCCCAACACCTTCCAACCAACCAGCTGATCAAAGAAGCAGCCTCACCTGGCACCTGCCTGAGAAGGAGTAGAGTTAAGTAATGTTTGCTGCGGATAGTAAGGGTTGTAGGAGGGTGGGAGGGACGGCGGACCTTGACGAAGGTATAAGGGGGTAAGGGGAAGGTCACGCAAACTGTGGGCCGGCGATCTCGCACGCAGGAACCTGTGGGGAACCAACACATAACGAGTCACAGCAAACGTGCAACAGCCCAAGCCACGCCAAATTAGGGCACTCTTAGGGTATGTCAGTCTCGGCCATTGCTTTGGCACCAATTAATTCCACATCAGCACAAAAATTGTTAATCCAAAATACAACTTGAATTTAAGCTGCTTTTTAATTTAATTAAAGCTGAAAAACATTTTCTTAAATTATAAAAAGTGATTCAATTTCTAGTGTGCCAAAGTTGGACGAGACTGGTTTTGAAGGTTTTATTTACCTGATTTCATCGTTGATTGAGCTGCGTCCTGAATGGACACTACCCCTGCTGTTGTCATCGTTGAAGCCATCAATGGTGCCACTTCCAGGTCCTTGCTGGCTGCTTGGTGGCATGGAAATGTAGCGACGATACCACTCGGCATAGGCGGCAGGGTTGGTGCGTCGCAGTTCCTCGTAGTAGGCAGCAGTTTGAAGATTGTATTCAGGGAATTGCAGCTGCAAGGACGGAGGTCCTCTAGGGTAGTGCTGGTGGTGAGAGTCATAAGGTCGTCCATAGTAATCATATCCTCCTATGAAAGAAAACATTTAACCCAACAGATGATTTTTTTTAGAAAAATGAATGATTTTCACAAAAATCACGCTGTGCCAAATTGAGGTGTCACACTTGATGAGTTATTTACAATATATTATGTGCCAAAAAATTGATATTTAAATGATTAAAAATCACTCCACTCAAAAGTCACAGCTTTTACCTTTGGCAGAAGCCCCAGACGGTTTCTTAGTATCTTTCTTAGAAACTGAAATATGTTTATGTTACTACTCCAAGAGCTGTTCAATATTACCATCTACAGGCTAGTCACAAATAAAATTCAAGATATTTACCTCTCCCATAGTATGGATCCCTGGTGTCTCGTCTGTAGCGGTCTCTATAATCGTAATAAGCCTTATCTCTGGAGCTTCGAACCCTTCCTCGGTCTAGATGGTCCGACTCATAATCATTTCTTCTTGCCTCAGAACCTGCTCTGCTAGGTGGCCTGGATCTAGAAAATTTATATTAGTAAATAAAACATATTCAAAATTTTAAATCTACCTCTCTCTGTTTGAATATCTATCATCCTCGTATCTATAATCTCGATGGGACCGATAGTCATCTTTTTCACGAACTCCATCTCGTTCTCTCTCCCTATCACGATCTCGGTCTCTGTAATAGTCCTTATGACGTCCGGATCTGCAACATGTTTAGAAATATTTTTGTTTTAAATAATTCTGAGCAAAAGGATGTGCTTTATAGGTTTAAAAATAGGATCAACGTCATGCTTAACAGTGACACAGATGACCTACGAGTCTAGTTGCAAGAGAAGTGTTAGAACAAATAAGGACTGGTTCAAGACCTGTAAGAGGAATGCTTTCTGTCTGGGGACCTTTCTCCACGGTACCTCCGGCCCCTATCACTGTGGTTGCTGTCACTGTCTTCCTCTTCATAGTCTTCATAATCTTTCCTGCGTCTACTTCTTGGCTGAGACTCCCTGTCTCTCTCCGACCTCTTTTTTGGCTCCTCCTTGCCAGGCCTGGGCGGTTTTCCTTTTGATTTGTCGACCTTTTTCTCGGAGCGTCTTTCATCAGATTCCTTTCTCTCCCTCTCTCTGAAAATAAAAGTAAATAGTTGGAAAGAGAACAAAATAAATGTTATAATTTCACCTTCTACGTCTTTCTTTCTTGTCCAAGGGTGGAGACTGGGGTGGCGACTGAGGTGTTGGCTGCCTGCTGTCTTTTCTTTTTTCTTGGGCAGCCTCCTCTTCAGCTTCTTGCTCATCGTGCTCAAATTCACCTCCAGAAATAATTTCAAGGTCTGATATTTCACCTTCTTCCAATTCAGACTCGGGTGCAGGATCTCTTTCCGGAGTTGCCTCTCCTTCAGCTCCTCGCCTACTGACATCCTTGAATGCAGAGTTCTGCTCACCAACCAAAACAGCCCTTGAAGCAGCAGGAATTTGGGGCGGCGGCCTTCGTGGCTCGGCGTTGGTGCCCTCGGCATTTGTTCGGCCTTCGGTAGGTCGCATGGGTTGCTTTTTGGGAATTGGCCTGGGTGGAGACTCATTGTCTCCCTCGGCACTTGTCCGAGCGATTGAAGGAGGGGCAGCAATTGGAGGAGGCTGTCCTACACCCTCACCAGTGGTGCGGATGGCAGGAGGTGCCGGTTCATCACATTCAGAACCTATTGTCTCACTGCGTTGACCATTTGGCTCGTCAGGCTCTGTTGTTCCAGGCACAACTCTTGGACCACCAGGCACAGGACTCTGACGACTCTCACCCGTCACAGTGCGTAAATTAGACAACTCTGCACTCAGCTGTCCAGTTTCGAGGAACTGGTTGCGATCGCTAGCTGAGACAGGGTCAACATTTTCATTTGTAGGCGGAGGGGGGAGAGGCGGCGAAGTGGACTGGGAAGGGTGGGGTCGCTGCTGATCCAAGTTCTCAGGTGGAGGAATGACACTAGGCCATGGAGATGGATCATCCTAAAACAGTAGAAACAACAAAATTGATGACGTCGCTAATCATTAAAATATACAATCAATTGCAATTAAGGACTGCTTTTCAATAATAATTGATATAATATTAATTACTTTTGCACCAAAAAATAATTTTTAGTGAATAAAATATTATTCTTATACCTGTCCAACTGCCATACGAGATGAAACTGGTGGTGGAGGCGGCAGTGGAGAAGCCGCTGGAGGCGGCATGACAGCATCTTGGGGTGATTCTTCATTATCCGGCTCCACTTCTAGATTTGCTGAAAACTGTTCCTGCGGCCCTTGGTGAGGCTGCTCAGGAACTTCCAAGTTGTCGACAGCACTAAGTGCTTCTGGGAGAGTCACCTCTTGAAGAGAAGGCTCCGGCTCTGGAGGAGGAGGTTGCGGTTGCTGAACAGGGGTTTGATGGTGCACTTGAGGAGACTGTCGAGGTGTTTGATGCATCTGTGGAGGCGGCGGGGGCGGCGCACTTTCTCGCACTTCACCAATCTCATTCAAGTTTACGTCAGCCAGTTGCTTTTCGAGTTGCTCCATTTTCTGATGGGTGGCTGCTTCCTGAGCTTGAGCAGCAGCCAAATCTTTGTCTTCCCAGTTCCAGGACGTATCCTGATTGCCCTGATTCCAGCCCCAGTTCCAGGTGTCGTTTTGTTGCGGTTGTTGGGGGTATGACTGCTGCTGACCTGGATAGCTTTGCTGTGCCTGATTTTGGTAAGCCTGAGACGGGTCGCCCGGCTGAATAATAAATTGGAAATAAATAAAGAGGAAAAGGGAATCCCTAGATTAAAGCTTGTTAAACCAAAATAATTTAAATAATTTCACCCAGAAATAATTTTGTTTCTTCTTTAAATTGAAACTCTGATTATTTCTCTTAGTATATTGGATAAAGGAGTTTCATTTTAACCAGCACAAACGCCACTTCAACTGTGAACGTTCTCGACAAAATTAATTATATAGGTTTGAAATTTCATTGAATATTTGACCAAACAAAAATCATACCTGATAATTATAGTCATAGTTGTAGTTGTTCTGACTGTCGTAGGCCTGATATGACTGCTGTTGGTTCCATTGTTGATTGGGCTGCTGCTGCTGTTCTACAGGTTCCCACTGAGCCTGCTGCTGATCCCAGTTGTTCCACCACTCTTGGCCAGTGTTATTATTGTTTTGCGTGGGAGATTGAACTTGCTGTTGTGGGTATTTTGGGGAAGCTTGCTGTTGTTGAGGCGGATACCATTGTTGTTGCTGCTGCTGGGGCAGCGGGGGTTGCTGAGTTGACGCGGTCTGCTGAGGGGGTGCCGGCTGTTGAGGCGACTGCTGCCAACCCTAAAAATAAAAAGTTTTAGATGCGTTACAAAAATTTCAGTTAGAGATCACATTTGCAACTTAAATATTTTATAAAGAAGCTGGATAGTTTCCATTGAAAAATCAAGATAAATAACTTAAATAACAACCTCTCTGACAACCACGTTAATAACTTCTAATTGTTCATTGTCATCAGAATATTCGTTTTCCACTTCGTCAGCAGAAACATCGTCGGCAAGCATATGTTACTTTTATAAAATATAAAGTAGGTAGAAAAGGAGAACTTGAAAGCAGCATCCTTATCAGCTTATCTCCCCAAATGTTTGGACCCCAAGTAAATAATTGCGGTTCAGGCGCCCTCTTTGATTTACTAACTACATACAACTGACTACAATTAAGGGATTTGCCTAAAAATAATAAGTACGGAAATAAATATTTAATATAAAAATTATTGTTATGGACTATAATTAAAAAAAATATTTTAGATGCTTTTTTACCTGCTGTTGAACTGATGGTCCGGGTGAGGGGGCAGGCGGAGCACCCACTGCGCTGGGGTTGTAAAAAGTAGGCGGTGTAGGGGCACCCGGATGCTGAGCGATGGGGGCTGCATTTTGGGCTGGCGAAGCATTTGTGCCCTGAGGTGCTGTACCAAAAATAAAATTTTAATATCAGGAGATTCCAAGGGTGCAGCAAACTTACCAGCCACCCTGTGCGCCAACTTCGTCCTTTGCCGAAACATTTTTATTTAAAGGCGCATTGTCTCTGTAAACCAAATCGAGAAGTTCTTAATCAGATATCCAAAAACAGCCAGTTGAAAAATATAGAAAGAGAAGTTAAATGTGAATATGAAGACAGAGAGCGTGAGAAAGATTTGTGAAAGGAAAATATTGGCCCCGTTTGACAGCGCACATATTGCTCCAGAGCGGTCGAGCGAACCGAAAACACAGATGATTAGCCGGGAATGGTGGACGAGACGGTAAAACCAGAATAAGGGTCAAGTTGTCTAGCCTATAATTTGTACCTTTTCCTATCACAGCCAACAAATAAGTCGAATTATGCTGATAAATTTCGCTAGCTGAGTGCGATTCCGCAAAATCTTTCTGTGCAGCTCGCTCTCACCTGTGACGTGACGGGATGTCGTGGTGGATAGTATGTAAGGGGTGCCAACTTGTCAAAAATACTAAATTTTTAATTTCTTCACTTATTTCTACTAAATTAGACTTTTTGATGAAAAGTTATTAAATTTCAGCCTAATGATGCATTGAAAATATAGAAAGCTTGCTCTATTTAGATATTATCTTAATTGTGGATATTTAATAATTGCAAATTTATTTCAATAGGTTGCATCACTGCATAGTCTGCTCAAAAATAACCATGGAGGTTTTTTTATAATTATGTATTAAAACCAAGTATTAAAAAAAATTGATTTCATTGATTTATTAGGATAAATGATAAATTATAATGATTGAAATAGAAGGTTGTTTTGAATATTAAAAGAAACTTAAAATTTGCTGGGTATTTTAAATTAGAATAGTACTAAAATTGTTCAAAATGCATCAAAAATTTTATTTATATATTTCACACCATTATTATGTGATAAAAATATTGAAAATTTAACTTCAAGCGAGTGAAAAACAGGAGGAATAGTAATTAATTTGATAGGAACCAGACAATGACATCAAGTCGTCATAGATAATTTGAATGAGATTTAGATTACCAAATAAATAATATAGAACCCTGATTTCCCCATTAACGAATTGCGCCGCAAACAATATTATTCTATGCAGGAATGTTGGAAGAAAAAAATGGTTGTGCAGAAATCTACACCAGCATCTCTGAAATCATGGTCTCCAGCTTTCTCGCATCTTCAGAAAACTTCCTGATGCCATCGGATAATTTGTCAGTGGCCATCTGGTCCTCATTCAGCATCCAGCGGAACGTTTTCTCATTCAGCTCAATCTTCTCAACATCAGACTCTTTGGCTAAAATTTTGACATTAATTTATAATTCAAAACAAAGGTTATTTAAGAAATTAAAATACCTTTGGCATCAGACAGCTTTTGGGGGACTGCGTCGTGGCTACTGTCAAGTTCTTCCAGCAATTTGGGGCTGATGGTCAGCAGATCACAACCAGCAAGAGCTTTCACTTCGCCTGAGTTTAAAAATAAGAAGAAAAAACTGCAATTTTTATAAGATTGAAAATATATACCAATATTTCTGAATGAAGCTCCCATGACAACAGTTTTGTAGCCAAACTTCTTATAATAGTTGTAAATGCGAGTGACGGAAACAACTCCAGGGTCTTCGTCAGGCTTGTAGCTTTTCTGGTTAGTGTTTGCTACAAACCAATCGAGAATTCGGCCGACAAAAGGCGAGATGAGTGTGACTCCGGCTTCAGCGCAGGCCACAGCTTGGCAGAAAGAGAAGAGCAAGGTCAAGTTGCAGTGAATGCCATGCTTCTCCTCAAGCTCTCTGCAATTCAAAAAATGATAAAAATGTTCGGAATTTTTATTTTGGCTAAAAATTTATACTTGGCCGCTTGGATGCCTTCCCAGGTAGAGGCAAGCTTGATGAGGATTCTTTCCTTATCAATTCCATGCTCTTTGTACATCTTGATGAGTTTGAGGGCCTTGGCAACGCTGCCATCTTTGTCAAAGGAGAGCCTAAAATTTAATTTGGTTAGTAATCTATAGAAAATTAAAATTATTAATAATTTACTTTGCATCAACTTCAGTAGAAACGCGCCCAGGAACGATTTTGAGAATCTCGGTTCCGAAAAGGACCAACAATTTGTCCATGGCCTCATCCAACTGTTCCTTCTTGGTGCTGAAATGATAAAAATAATTGCGTAAATTTTCATTTGATTACAACCTTGATTTTGCAAATAAATTATTTGAACATCTGATGATGAGATAACGACTTTGACCTTCACTTCGCCAAAGTGCTGGTCATCACGAGTATTAACATTTGCACCATCAGGCCATAGAGGATTTGTATTTTTTGCTATAAACAGATTAAGACTTACTCTCCAGCAGACTTTCCATGCTCGACTGCTTTCTCGATGAGGTGCTTGTACTGAGGCATTTTTGCAGCCAAGAGAATGAGCGATGGATTTGTGGTGGCATCAGTTGGCTTGTACTTTTCCATCACTAAAAAAATTAAAACAAAAATGATTTTTTTCTTAACACATATTTTTCATAATTTTTAATCAAAAAATTTAAAAATCAAAATTCTTCTTTGAAAATTTTACATGATGAAATTTTTAATTATTAAATCAGGAATTAATTTAATCATAATTATTCCACATTGCTTGCTCAAATCGGGCTGAAATGCACTTTAACAAACACTGGGTATTGAATTAATAGTAATTATTATTTTTTCGAAAAATTTGAGGAATTAGATACAAAGCCGCATTGATCACGGGCGTGGAATCAAAGCAATGCTTTACAACCTTTTATTTTCCACCGCACGAGAATCATGCTAGAAAAGGCCACTTAAGTTGTAAAATTTTATCATATTAGGGTATTAAACTTTTTCTAGGTCCCAGCGGAATTGAAAAAATTATTTCGCTGTTATTAGTTTGCATTGCCAAGAAAAAGAAGTGGTCGAATTCAGTCAAAAGAGAGGAGAATTTGAAAATAATTATGGACAATTAAATACATAATGCTGGACCAAATCTGCGAAAGCAGCAGGTGGTGCGTCTCCAAGCAAGACTTGGCCGGGGTCGTCAGCAATTAGAAGTCAAAATCACCTTCAAAATCGCCGCTGTCGGCCACCACGGTGGTCAATTCCTTCAGTTGGGCCAGGGAGCTCGACATTTTTGCCTTCTTGCTGGTCGGCGACTCTCCAGACATAGTGAAATTCTCGGGAAATCGTCCGGTCGGTCGGCGCAGGCGGCTGAAAACCACAAGGTCAAAGTTGTTTCACCGGCGAGAGCACCAAGCGCAGCAGCACAGCTTGCCTGTTTGAAAATTTCAAAAGTCACTAATAGATGGCGCGCTAATCGCTGAAGAATATTGAGTTAGCCAATCGTGCCGCTTGATTTTGGTGGCGATCGCGGGAAAATTGCAACGTGGAATGCCTTCGAATGGAAAAGCGTTGTGCTTCGATGATACTTCAAGTCCGTTTTGATTCCGGATTTATTTAAAACATGCAAACTCTTGCAAATTAATTTTGGCGTTGCAAGATAAAACTTGAAAATGGCTGTACTCAACGATTTCAGAAAGAAGTTTATTCTTCAATGTATAGGTAAAATTATCTATGTTATATTGCAAAAAATAATATTTCAAAAAATTATTATCGCTTTCAGAAAACTTCTTTGATATCTCCAACAAAGAAGACTTATTCCTTGATAATAATGCTCTAGAAAAATTTTTGAATGACCAATTTTGCCTCATATTTTGTGTCCGACGTGTTCCTGAAGCGAGTATTGATGGTCATCGAATCACGTTTTCGAACGAGGTCAAATTAAATAACCAAATTTAATATAATGTATATTGAAAAAAAATAATATTCATTAAATGAACTTTAGGTCTCCTGCAAACACACCGACCAACTGATCGTATTTGTCAAAAACAGAGCAGAAGAGCTCACTGCAGATAATTTGCACACTTTGATAAGCACTACCACCATCGGAGGTGGAGCAGTGTCATCATTTCTGCACAGCATTCAAAACATTTACATACCCGCAATACTGCAAGTAAGATAATTCATATTGAATTGATTGTATTAAATGTTATGGAAAATGAAAATAAAAATAGGGAAATGACGGGCAGAAAAAAGTGAGTTCAAAAATAAAGGAAGCGCTGGTGCAGCTTGAGACAAACTTGAAAGGTGAAATTCAAGCAATCGAGGCTATAGCTGGTAATTTTTAGATGAATTTTTAAATTCAAACAATTTTTATAATGTTCCTCAGGAGTTGAAACTGTTGCAGATGAAATCGCTTTTTGGAAAAATGTGCCAAAGTCTGCAAATATTTTAAAAATATTAGTCCCGTTTGAAAAAGAGACAAAGTATGAACTATATTTTTCTTTTTAAAAGTTATCCTCTAGGTTGGAATAAAAATAATTTTAGCTTATTGCGCACTTCTGCATCTTTGACGGACGTAGAGGACATGCTTGACGCGGCGCATGACGTCATGGACGAGCTGTGGAATGAGGAAAGTCCTGCTTTCCCTCAAAGTAGAATGGAAAATTTGCTTCAAATAGTTGGTATGCTGTTATGTTCATTATTAGGAAATTTAATTATGATTTTTATAAAATAGCGAACGGCGTGGTAAAATATTTGCAAAACCACTTGACACAAATTCAAGTGTGGCGCAACCCTTTTGAGAAGGTCACTCCAACTTTAATTCAGGCAATTTCCGCTTCTAAAAGATGGATTGAATCTTGCAATAAATTGACATCGTTTTTCTGGCAAAACCATACCAACCACAGATGGACAGGGCAGCCTTTGACACCTCATTTACTCTCAAAATTCGTTGCCAGATTAGACGAGGTTAGCAACAATTTCAAATGTTTTTTTTTAATAACATTAATTATTAATTTATTATTATATGCGTCTTCTGAAGATTAATGCAATTAGATCAGTTCATCACCATCTTAAATGTTTTCTGCCGGACGATGAAAATATACATGTCAAGAATGAGGACGCTTTCATAATGTTCCATGGTTAAAATTTTTAACTTGCCCTACTGCAGAAATTATTTTAAGGTTGTGTCAAATAGGAGTTGATGCATTTCACTGCAACACTTTTGTTGACGAAAAGTGGAAAAATGCCGTAGCCCAGTTTGAGCAAACTGTATCCTCGTTAGAAGAACGCGTTGCTGTCAAATTAAAAATGCTTCTCACACAACAAGGCTCTCACGCGATGCAGGTTTAACTTGAATCACAATCCTTTTTCCATTTGTATGTGCGAAATTAAATTACAGTCGATCCACACAATGAAGAATATGGAGGAATTATTTTCGCGGCCTTACATTTTGCAACTCCTCACAAGCCAAAGAGAGTCTCTTTTGGCGGAACTAAATAGATCAATTGAAGATACGAACAAAGAAACAAGAATTCAACAGTCGCATCTTGTGAATAGCAATGCTGTAGAAGTCATTAAGTGGATAAAGCAAAATGAAGCCATTGTAAAGGACCAAATGAAATTTTATAATTATTATATAATTTATTTTAATTTATAGATTCTGGACATTCAAACGGCCAGCAAAAAGTTTTTTCCAGATTTATCTGGTTTTAAAAACTTGGAGTCGGAAGTTGAAAATTTGCTGAAATCTTTAAGGGAGCTCAACGCAAACGCTTTTAACATGTGGTCACGGACTAAACTGGCAGCTCTCTCAAACGCAACCCTTGGTTTTAACGCTGACAAACCAGTGGTGCAGTTCGACAAAGTTACCAAACTGATGGTGGTTACATACAATCCAGATCTAGATAATCTCATTCGAGAATCAAGACAGCTGACAGTTCTGGGTCACGTTATTCCCGACCAAATTAAAAAGGCAGCAGAGCAAGCAAGAAAGTTCATGCGCCAAGCGAAAAACTTAGATAAGGCAAGTGCAATATATTAAAAATTATATTTTGGGACAAATATTATTCTATAAATTTATAACTAAACATTATATTTCCGTAGATTTGCAACTTCCACAACACAATCGGAGACCAAATGATCCCGAGTCAGCGACCAATGATGCTTGAGGCGGCTTTTGCTCTTTCTCAGCTTGTCCAAAAAGAGACGCAAGTCACTTGGGTCAATCCAGTCGCTGTTGACGAGTATATTGACAAGCTGCAAACTGCAGTTGAAAAGCTGTCGACCCAAAATACACTTCTTTCCGGATTCCATTCTGTTATTAAGAACAAAGTCATGTACTTGATGACAGTCAACTTGTTGAAAAATCAGGGCCAATGGAAAGGCGCGATCAGGGAGATAAAAGAGATTTTTAAGCAGGTGGAAGCAAAGGTAGGCAACTTGCTCGACACGGTCGATGTGCACACTGCCTAACTTGTAAATTTCAGAATTTCTCCAATATGAAGGCGTGGAAACTTCACTGGGACCACCAAATTTACAAAGCGCTCGAGTTTCAGTACAAACTATGCGTAGAGTCACTTAGTGAACACATTCAAGAAATTCGAGTTGAACTAGTTTACAGGTTAAAAATGAACGCTTTTAAAGTTTACTGTATAAAAATTAATTAAATCCAGGCAGCAAAAGTTGCAATTTCAACCTCCCTTTGAAGAAATACGACTGATTTATTACAACCAATTAAAAAAGCTCATGTCGATTCCCGTGCAGTTCAAAGGAATTGATGGTACCGACAACACTTTATTCATCGGAATAGTTGAAAGGTTATTGGTTGGTGATCAATAAATTTATTTTAATTCTTCATTAATATTAGGAATGGAAACTTACTCAAACCTTTATATGAGCGGGCGGAGGAATTATTTGCTAAACTTAAAGCAGTGGTGACAAAGTTTGAGCGATGGGTTGCTCTTGGAAGTGTTGACCTGCACCAAATGGCAGAGCAAAATTTGCTGATGGCGGACGATTGGGACAAAAACTTCAAAAGCTCAAAAGCCTGGGCACAAGAAATTGGAAGATTTACAAAGTAAAAATATGATTTAATTACCTTCAAAAAATAATTTTTGCATGAAAATATAGTTTGGAGGAGAAAATTGAGTGCTTTGCCGTCAGCATATTGCCTGTGCGTGCCGAGGCAGAAATGCATAACAGACGCTACTGGGACATTTTGACAACTACATTGAGGGATGCTATAAATAATGACGCACTCAAAATTCAATCCTTTGCCATGGATGGAATTAATGTTCTTCGGCAGCAGCCAGCCACTGCTGGTGAGCTTAGCAGGGCCACAGTTCAGTACTCAGAGTTGTTGAATAAAACACCTGACATGGTAAAAGCGTATGATGAAGCAAGAAAGAAAAACAGAATTTTGGCAAATTGGACAAGAGAAAAAATTAACACTTTGGACGAAGTGTCCTCGGTTTGGCAAAGTTTCCAGCTTGTGCTTGGAAACAGGGAATCTGTTATGGAGGAGCAGGTAATAACAAAGAAAATTAAAAAAAAAATCAATAATTGCAATTTGTTCCAGATAAACAATATAAAAATACAACTGAATGAGAGGCTTAAAGAACTTTCAGAGGACACGGAAAAGTTCTGGGAGCGTTGGAAATTGTCAAGACCAAATGACAGTAAAATTGGAGGCTCTGTTTTGTTGAAAGAAACATTTGATAATATAGCCGCAAAAAGAAAAGAGTGGATTTATCTGAAGGAAAAAAGAGACGAACTCAAGTAAGTTAAATTAAATTACTCCAATCTTCTTATTTGTTTATTTTCATGTCAGAGCCGAGTTGGACGCGTTTGGTCTTTCAGATAGCGATGTTCCTGATTGGGCTGAAATTGAGAGCGACGTCCAATCTCATGAAACAACGTGGAGTCTTTTAAGCGAATTTCAAAATGGCAAGTTTTGATTTAAAAAAAAAAAAATAATAATAATAATAATAATTATCCAATAAATAATAAAATATTATATAAATAGGCATTGAAAAATTTAGCGAAGAGGAGTGGATTGTATTTAAAAACAGGACAAACAAATTTGATGAATTTTTATTAGAGTGGGAGCAAAAAATTGACGAGCAAATTTCTACTGGGCACTCCATGCCACTCATATCACACATTCACAAAGAAATCAAAACTTACATGGTATAACGGTCAAAATATTTATCTAAAAATGATATTTTATGTTCGCTTTAAAGGATATGGCACCTGGACTAAGATTATTGAAGGGCGATATGTTCAGTGAAAAGCAATGGGCAACCATGCTCGAATTAATTGGTATTCGCTACCAATCAATAGAAATTATAAAGTTCAGGGAGTTTTTACTGGCCAAGGAACAAATTATACTAAACATGGAACAAATCAAGAGTTTGATTGCTCAAGCCGCGAGTGAAATCGTAATCAGACAAGCACTGAGTGAGCTCAATACTTGGGAGATTGAGGCGAAATTTACATTTTTTGAGCACACTGATTCTCAAGGCAAAATGCTTTTGTTGGTCCAAGATTTTAAAGAGATTCTCAGCAAGGTACGTTGGATTATACATTTTGTAGAGGAGTGAAATTAAAAAAATAAAACGTCTTCTTATTGCTAGGTTGGAGATAACCAATGTCTGCTACAATCGATCAAAAGTTCACCAAACTTTGAGAGCTTCAAGGACCAGTCGACCTTATGGGAAAATAGACTATCCACCTTGGACGAGTGTTTGCGTAATCTCTCTCAAATCCAGAGAAAGTAATTACAAAATATTTCTCCCAACGCACCACCTATAACGGCCTTTTTGAACAAGGTGGCTTTATTTGGAGCCAATTTTCGGCGCAGGGACGTTAGCAAGCGACAAAGCGAGGTTTCACAGAGTAGACGTCGATTTTCGGAACATCGCAGTGGAAATTTCAAGGGAGAAAAAAGTAATCTCACTTTGCCGGCGGGCTGGTTTGCCGAGGCTGCTCAGCAGCTTAATCGACCAGCTCGAGAGATGTCAAAAAAGTTTAAACGACTTCTTAGAAGTAACAAAAGATAATAAAGATAAAATATTTAATATTCAATTCAATTATTTACAGGAAAAAAGATCAGCATTTCCGCGCTTTTATTTCATTGGTGATGACGACTTGCTGGAAATCTTGGGCCAATCCACAAAGGAAAAAGTCATACAAGCGCATCTAAAAAAGCTCTTTTCCGGCATTCACAATGTGGATTTTGCTGAGGATAAAAAGAGCATAGTTGCTTTGAGGTCGTTGCAAGGTGAAGTGGTCCCTCTCAAAAGAGGGGTGCATTTGCAGGAAAATGTTGAAGTGCGTCATGAAATTTTAATTAAATATTCCAATATATTAAAAAATAAAATTAATTTAGCGTTGGTTGAGTCAGCTAGGAGATGAAATGAAAAATACGCTTCAAGAGCTGCTGTTAAAATGTAATGAAGAGAGCAAAAGATCTGAATCCGGCCCAAACATTTCAAATTATCCGTCGCAAATACTTTGCTTGTCAGAAGAAATACTTTTCACGCATCAATGTGAATCCGCTATTTCAAACAACAGACTTAGCAGCTTTAGAAAATCTTTGAAAGTAAGAAAAAAAATCGACGCATTTGAACTTATTATAAATAATCTCATCACTTAAATTCAGTCTAGATTAGAAGGATTGACGAGTTTTGTGACGAAGAGTGATGCTGAGTATTCAAAAGTACTGATTTTAAAGATCAGAGCTTTGATTATGGTTCTCATCCATAACATCGCTGTTGTTGATTATTTAATTAACGCAAACAGCGGTGTCTCGATTGACTCATGGGAATGGCAAAAACAACTAAGGTGAATTATTTAATTACATTAATTTACAATTAAAAATAAAAAATAACATTAAATTTTGTATTTCTAGATATTATCAAAACTCCGATGGATCGACCACTGTAAAAATGGTAGACGCGGAGTTCAAATACACGTTTGAATACTTGGGCAACGCACCTTTATTGGTTCACACGCCGCTTACAGATAAATGTTACCTCACATTAACACAGGTTTAATTAAATTTTAATTTTCCCCTAGTTATATAAAAACTTGCATTTAGGCGATGCACATGGGCCTCGGAGGAAATCCAGTTGGCCCAGCGGGGACTGGAAAAACGGAATCGGTTAAAGCACTTGGCGGACTTATAGGGAGACAAGTTTTAGTTTTTAACTGCGATGAGGTTTTATCTTAAAAAGTAATGTATACTTAATATTAAAAGAAATCTATCAATAGGGAATTGATATGAAATCAATGGCACGCATTTTTGTCGGCCTGGTGAAATGCGGTGCTTGGGGTTGTTTTGACGAATTCAACCGATTAGAAGAGGCAACCCTATCAGCAATTTCAATGCAAATTCAGTCTATTCAAAGTGCACTGAAAACAAAACAAAACTCAGTAACATTGATGGGAGAAGCAGTAATTTTTCTGTTAAAAAAAATTAATATTTAAAAAAAAATTAAATTTTAGGTCAGCCTTGATAGAAATGCTGGGATATTTGTAACAATGAATCCCGTGGGCAAAAGCTACAAGGGTCGCCAACGTCTGCCAGATAATCTGAAGCAATTATTCAGACCTGTCGTCATGGCCCAGCCAGACAGCGAATTAATTGCCGAAGTGTTGCTTTACGCGGAAGGTTTTCAGCACGCCGCTGAGATAGGAAAAAAACTTGTGGAAGTGTTTAATTTGTCAAGTCGCTTGCTCAGTCAACAGCAACACTACGATTGGGGTCTACGTGCTTTGAAAACAGTCTTGCACGGTTGTGGATCTGCTCTGAAAGAAGCTAAAAATTTAAATGACGACGAAAGAGATGCAAAAAGCGAATCCGAGCTTGCCGTCCGAGCGCTGAGATTAAATACGCTCTCCAAACTGACAAGTGCGGACAGTACACATTTTGACGCCCTCGTCAAAGATGTGTTTCCAAGTGTCAGTTTAATCGAAATGCAAAACGAGAAACTGGTTGGGGCGCTCAAAAAGAGTTATGAGCAACTGCATTTGGTGGAAAATTCAAAACAGGCAAATAAAAAAATTTAGAATATAAAATTGGATTAAATTATTTTTGTTTACAGATTAAGAAATGCTTGGAATTGTATGAACAGCTTCTGCAAAGAATGGGCGTAGTTATTGTAGGTCCATCTGGCTCGGGGAAAACAACAGTTTGCTGCCTCTTGAGTCATGTAATTTTCTATTTGATTTTAATTCCTATTCATTATTTTTTGTTTATTTAGGCACTCAGTCAGCTGGGTCAAATTGTTCGGCAACACACTATAAACCCAAAGGCAATGTCACGCGCTCAACTATTGGGGTATGTTGACCCCGATACAAGACAGTGGCACGATGGAGTTTTAACAATCAGTGCTCAGCAAGTGTATAATGAGCCATTGGGTAATATAGCTTTTTTTTTACATAAATTAATTGAATGAAAAAATTTTAGAAATAACGTCGTGGATTGTTTGTGACGGTGACGTTGATCCTGAATGGGTCGAGTCTCTGAACTCAGTTTTGGATGACAACCGACTGCTGACTTTACCCTCAGGCTGGAGAATTCAGTTTGGGCCAAACGTCAATTTTTTATTTGAAACACACGATTTGAGTCATGCTTCGCCAGCCACTATATCGCGAATGGGCATGATTTTGATGAGGTGCGATTTAAAAATCTAAATGATGTTTCAAAATAAAATTAATTTTCTTTTGTTTTAAAGCGAGGACGACGTTGATATGAAACACTTAATGGCTGTATGGAAAAAGCAAAATCAAATTGTAGACGAAATGTTATCAGATTGGCTTGATGAATACTTTTTTAAAGGTATTTAAACAAATAACATTTTAATTATTATGAGAAAAATTTCCCTTCTTAAGCTGTTAAATGGATTCTCTCAAATGGTGAATTTGCCATTCCTTGGCCAAAAATTGGCCTTGTGCGGACAGGCCTGTCACAAATGTTCAACGTGAAGAGCAAAGGGCAGTTTACGTGTGCGCTAATCAAAGGACTCGGCTCAAATTTAACAGAAGCAAGCAGACAAGCTTTTGCGACCAAAGTAAAAAAAGCGCAATTCATTTTGAATTTAAAATAATAAAAATTGTCGTTGCATTAAGGTTTTTGAGTGGACAGGAGAAATTTTGGCCGATCCAAGTCGGGTTTTGCTGAGTTATTATAATGAATTGCAAGACTGCATTGATACTCATTACTCTGAAGGTGCAATTCTTATTATTACTATTTTGAATATTTTTTTTTCAACCCTTCTCATTTTTAGATTTCGTTAAAGATCATCAAGAAAAAACGGTGATAACAGCCTACGGGAAAACAATTCTTGACCATTTGAATGCTTGGTTTGAAGAAGACCATAAAAAATCATTTCTGCTTGTCGGCCCGCCAGGTTGCGGAAAAAAGTGCGTACAAGTAGCAAAGATTTTAGATAGATTTTAATGATATTAATTTTTCAGTGCTCTAATGCAATATTACTTTTCACAAATGCGGTCAATTGACGTAGCAGAGATACACTGCAGTGCGCAAATCACGCCGCAACATGTTTTGCAAAAGTTGAAACAGGTTCAAATTAATTTATTGTGTGTATTAAAATAATTTTCTTTGTAATTATTTAGGTTACAATAACAACATCAAGTATAAGTGGAAGAGTTATTAGACCAAAAAATGCTGAGCATCTCGTTCTCTACTTCCGAGATTTGAATTTAGCAAAGCCAGACGATTGGGGCACAAACATGCTCATCTCGTTCCTCCAACAAGTAATTTTATATTTTAATTTGCAATTACATTAAAATTAATTTACGTGTTTAATGTATCAGGTGCAGTCGTATCGAGGGTTCTTTGACGAAAATCTTGAATGGGTAGGAGTTGAAGGAATACAAATCGTTGGAACGCTTTCAAATGGAAATTCTTCAAAATCGTTCAATTTGTCGCCGAGGTTTATGTCACTTGTTGCGGTTTTGGCAATGAGATACGCAGATAATCAAGACTTGCAGCATATTTATGGCAGCCTTCTGACCCAGAGTTTAAGTGAAACTCTACCAGAATTAAATTTGTGGCAATCCTCTGGGAAGTTAAATACACTGATTGACACAATGATCAACATCTACACAGAAGTAAAACTCATTATGTGTAAAATTATAATATAATCCATAAATTTGCAGATCTCAACAACTTTTACATCGATGCAACAAAGCCATTATTTGATAACTCCGTATTTCCTCACAAAATGGTGTTTAAATTTGAGCAGATACTCCTTTGCAAGCGGAGCAGAGCTTGTTGACTCTGTATTGCTGGTGAGCAAATATACGTTAAATTTTTCAATTATGCACACAAATATTGTTTTCATTAATTTTATATGCAACAAAAATTAGAAAAAAGGTAAGGATGTTTATGCAACTTGTAATACAAGGATGCATTGCCGGTTGCAATGTCTTCAAATATAAGGAGATTTGACTTTGCAAAATATCAAGTACAATATTACAATTATTGATAAAAAGATTTAATAAGAATTATTTCATTATTAATTATAATATATCTTGATGTAAATAAAATTTATAAATTTGATGTATCTCTGCGTATGAAAAGGCCATGGTCCATGAAGTCATGCGGATATTCGGTGACATGCTTACAAACAAAGAGGACAAGGAAAAATTGGAGCTTTTGACAAAAAACGTCATAGAAGAGAAATGGAACAAATCATCATCAGCAATAATGGAAAAAATTAAAAGTGATAATCATTTTTATCATTTAATTGCTTATTATTATAAAGTTACGTGAATTATCTTTAGATAATTTCTTTGTAACTCTCGGAGGATCAAAAAAAGGAAAATGTGATCAAACTTCTAAGCAACTGGGGCGCCTCAGCCACTCTGATTGGAGTGCGGTGGTTGACAAGTATTTGAACCAATATGGTATAAAAATATTTTTTCTTGCTAGAAAGTTATATCTTTTTGTAATCCGCAGCGAAAGAAGAGCAAGGAGTAGAAATAGTAATCACGCAAGACTTTTTACAAAGTGTCGCGAGGATTGATCGAGTTTTAAGCTCCTCTCGTGGGTCGTTGCTGCTGTGTGGAAAAACGGGGTCTGGTCGGAAAACTGCCGTCCGACTAGTGTCCCTAATTCATGGCTCAAAATTTGTTACTCTGAACGTAACAACCGATTATTCCGTCAAAAGCATTAAAAAAGAATTAAAGACGGTAAAATAGAAAACAAATTTTAATTTAATATTTTTGATTCTTTTCTTCATCAGGCCATTCACTGCGCTGCATTGGAAGGGGAGCAAGTAAATTTGCTTATCGAAGACTACCAACTCAAGGAGCCTGCATTTTTGGATGTGATCAACAGTTTGCTAGCGTCTGGTGAAATCCCAGGACTTTACGCAAGTGACGAATTAGAGTCGATGATGGGCACTCTGCGAGAAATGGCTTCACAAGATGGATATATAGGAAGCCTTACAACCTACTTCGCGGAAAGTAATGTTTTTATGGCTTTAAAGTGATGATTTATTGAGATTGAAAATAATATTTTCCACTTTTAGGAGTAAAAAATAACTTGCATGTGATACTTGTAATGGACTCTGGAGATCCAAATTTGATTCAAAATTGCGAGAGCAACCCAGCCATTTACAAGTATTGTACAATTCATTGGAGTGATTATTGGTTAGAGGAGAGCATGACAAAAATTTCCCAACAAATTCTTACGACGTAAATATTCAATTTTATAATTTTTAAATTACATTTTTTTGGTTAAATCCGGTTAAATATTTTAATTAGGTCTAGTGAAATATTAAAAGATGATGACGAAATACATTCGCACTTGCTCACTATCCACAAAAGTGCACTTTCTTCGCTAGCAAATCCATACCGATTTGTGTCGTTCGTTCGACTATACCATCACATTTTCGTGCAAAAGAAAGAGGGAATTCACAAAAGAAAAGAGAAATTGAGTGCCGGCATCGCGAAACTGACTGAGGCGCAGAATGTGGTGAAGGAGCTGCGTGGAAAAGCAGAGAGACAAGAAAAAGAGCTTGCCCATAAGCAAGCGGAAGCTTCCGCTGCCCTAAACATGATTTCCGAAACCATGCAAGGCGCCAACACGCAAAAGGCAGAAATGGAGACTTTGAAGACGCAGACAGTCAAGGAAAACGAGCATCTGCTGGTCAGAAAAAAGGAAATCGACATGGAACTGGCAGAAATCGAGCCTTTGGTGCAAGAAGCGCAGGCGGCTGTGGGAAATATTAAAACTGAATCTTTGTCTGAAATTCGGTCCCTCAGAGCACCGCCCGAGGTCATCAGGGACATTCTTGAGGGCGTTCTAAGGCTCATGGGCATTCAGGACACCTCTTGGAATAGCATGAAAATTTTCTTAGCAAAACGAGGTGTAAAAGAAGATATCAAAACTTTCAATGCCAGGAACATTTCTGTTGACAGCAGAGTGGCTGTGGAGAAATTGTTGAAAACGAAAAAGGAGTCGTTCGAAGAAAAAAATGCGAAGCGGGCGTCTGTGGCCGCAGCGCCCTTGGCCTCTTGGGTGATGGCGAATGTAAAATATGCGGTGGTGCTTGAAAAAATTAGACCATTGGAAAGGGAGCAAGACAAATTACAAAGGTATTGTGATAATTTTGTAATTAAATCAAGTTAAATTTTTTTTCCCCTTTGTTTAGAAATATGAATGCATTTGAAGCAAACATAGGAAAAATAAGCTCCGACTTGACCAATGTGAACGATCGCGTTGCTGAGTTAAAGGAAAAATTGAACACTTTCACAAAGGAAGCTGCTGAAATTGAGATTCATCTCACAAAAGCTAAGGATACTTTGAAAGCCGCCGAAACTCTAGTGGGCAAACTCATTGATGAATATGAAAGATGGAAAAGCCAGGTTTGATTTACATATAATATAAAACATCTCAAATAATAATTTTTATGCAGCTTCTAGAACTATCTGACGACTTAATATCTTTACCCATAAAAGCACTCATCGCGGCAGCGTTTATAATATACCTGCCAGCTCTTCCCGAGGAGCAACGAAGAGAATCATTGAATTATTGGAAGTCAATATTGAAATTAGAGGATTTTTCTTTGCAGTCTTTTTTGGCGACAGAGCAGCAAATTCTTGTTTGGCAGTCAGAAAATTTGCCAACAGATGCAGTTTCCATTGAAAACGCAATTTCAACTTTGAACGTAATTATTACATGCTAATATATTTTCTCAAAGCTGAGAGTTTTTTATTAGTCCAAGATCAGGCCGTTAATAATTGACCCAACCTCTAAAGCCCTTGACTGGATTCAGGAAAATTTAAAAAGCAACACAGTTGAAGTTCTTGCCCAAAGTAATGAGCGTTTTGCTACTTTGCTGGAGCTGGCTGTCAGGTAAATAATAAAAAAAAAATTAAGATTTTAAATTACAAGTGCCTGCTTTTTAGATTTGGAAAGGCTTTAGTAATTCCAGAGGTAGACACAATCAACCCAATTTTAGTTCCTCTTATAAAAGAGCAATTCATACACCAAGGTAATTAATTTCTCCTAAGTGGATACTGTTTCTAATGAAAGGAGTTTAAGGTGCTCGATGCATGGTAAAAATCGGCGAAAAACTCGTTGATTACAACAAGGATTTTCAGCTTTTCCTCGTGAGCAGAAACACCAGTCCACATATTTGCCAAAGTGTGGCAGCAGCCTTAACGGCAGTTAACTTTTCCACAACCCCGGCTGGTCTTTCGGAACAAGTATGCCGCTTTTTGCTATTTCACTGCATGTTCGCTCATAAAATGAAATTTTAGCTCTTAAGCAGCGCATTAAAGCACGATAAACCAGAGTTGGAAGTAAGACGCGGGGAACTGTTGAGAGAGGAGGAGAAGAAGAGAACGGAGTTGGAAAAACTGCAGGAAAATTTGCTCGTTGAGCTATCGTCGGCCCAGGGGGATTTGCTCGAAAACAAAGTAGGCTGATTTGTTTTTCCGCTCAGGGAGCAAAAATTAATTAAGCTCTGTAAACAGGAGCTTCTGAGTTCTTTGAATGAGACCAAGGCAAGCAGCATTGCTATTTCCAACTCGCTACAGGAATCGGGCAAATTAAAGGAAAGCTTGCAATCAGAAAGAGAGCTCTATCGTCCGCTCGCAGAGTTTGCGAGCACTTTTTACTTTGCGATTGCAAAATTATCGACTGTGAACGTTATTTACAATTTTTCCGTTTCTTTTTATCTCAACTTGTTCAATACTGCCTTGGAACAAACTGACGTAAGCATATTAAATTATTTAAATATATAAGGTTAATTTTTTATTTTTTTATTTTTAGATCGATGAAGAAACAGGCGAGCGCATAAAAAGTGTAAAAAGACGCTTGACGCAACTCGTTTTTGAAAAGGTTGGCCGATCCCTGTTCAAAAGTGACATGATTATGTTTTCCATGCACGCTGTACATGCCATTATGCCAGAATTAATTCCCGAAGAGGTACTAAAATGTTTGTAATTTTTTAAACGTCATTATATATTGAACTGAACAGGAGTGGCTGTTATTTATTGGTCGGTCAACAGGAGACATCAAAGAATACGAAGTTCCCTCTTGGATAAGTAAAGAACGCCACGGACAAGTAAAAATGTTCATTGTAATTTCATCTATAATTAAAACTTATTATTTATTAATAAAATTTTAAAATTTCTCTCTAGAGCAATTTGCCTTCAATAGGCACTCAATTGAATTTAGACGACCAAAATGCATGGAAGACGTTCATGCAAAGCGCAGAATGCGAAAGCAATTTCCCTAGTCACACGCAAAATTTGTCGCTTTTTGAAAAACTGCTCATTATACAAATTTTGCGGCCTGACCGATTAAGAACCATGATGATTTTATTTGCGCAAAGTTCACTGGGTAAGAAATTTCAATTTTTGTGATAAGAAAATTATTTAAATATGAATTAATCTACAGGTCTCTCGGATATTTTCCCAAGCGCTTTGAGTCTCAAGAAACTTCTAGGAGAAACACAACCTGCCGAGCCAATTTTACTTTTATCACTGCCAGGAACCGATCCTTCAATTGAACTGAAATCACTGGCGAGCAATACAATCGGGCAAAATGCATTCCATGAAGTATAAAAATAAATTTAAATATTTCAATTCGTAAAATAATTATATTTTGTTTTACAGGTTGCTTTGGGCGAGGGGCAAATTGAAGTGGCCGAAGCTTTGTTGGAAGACGCGTCGATCAATGGACACTGGTTGTGTCTGAAAAATCTGCACCTAGTGTGCAAGTGGCTGCCCACTTTGGAAGCAAAACTGAAATCGCTGCAGCCGCATCAGGACTTCAGATTGTGGCTCACGTGCCAACCACACCCGAATTTGCCACCGGTTTTTCTCAAATCGTGTTTGAAGATTATTTACGAGGCAAGTCGAATTAGATTAAATAAAATATTTTAATAATACTTGAAATTTAAATTCCTACCTGCAGGCTCCGCAGGGCATGAAGAGAAACTTGCAGCGGACGTTTGCTGGCTGGGGTCGAGAGGTCATTGAAGCACCAAGCAAGCAGCCAGTTTTGCGCGCCCAGATGCTTTTCGCTCTGGCCTGGCTGCACGCAGTCCTGCTTGAAAGAGCAACCTACGTGCCGCAGGGCTGGAGCGAGGCATACGATTTCAGCGATGCCGATCTCAAAGCTGCAACATATGTCGTAGAAACTTTAATTAGCAGTGGTATAATTTCTAAACTTTACATAAAATTAAATTATTATATTCCATGCTATTATCAGGTAGCATCAAATGGGAGTACATTTACGGCCTGTTTGAAAACGTAGTTTATGGTGGAAGAGTGAAAAACGAATTTGATATGAAAGTCTTGGCCATTCTAGTAAGAGATTTTATCAACTCTTCAGCGATTGGCGGTAGAAACTCTTTCGGTCCTGGTATTAATTTGCCCAGCTCGGCCAAATTTACGGTGAGATAAATAAAATTGTTAAATTTTGGTAGATCGAAAAATTATGTAATTAATATGAATTTAGGACTCTCTTAACTGTATTGCACAATTGAGTGATCACGACAGTCCTTTGTATTTAAGTCTGCCATCAAATATAAATTCGTCTTGGCAAATAACAACAAGCCAATATAGCATAGAACAGCTTTTACGTGAGTTAAATTATTTTTATTTGAAATTTCCATAAAAAAATTGAACAAATCTTAATTCCAGAATTATCACGGTCTCATTTCGTTTCAAAAATTGATATTGAAAAGTGGGACAGCCTGCTGACGCCTATATTCAACGTGTGGAAGAAAATTAACCAGGTAATTGAAAATTAAAATGGTGGAAGTTCCAAGATTAATTTTGGTGTTCATTGTGAATTAAAATTTAATTTATTTAACATGAATATTATAGGGCGTGGGAATAATTCAACTGAAAGTCACAGACGAAAGCACCAAAGCTGATTCTGCTACTCCAATTGAACAGTTTTGCGCATTGGAATGGAAACACGCAATAGAGTTGGTTCAGAAAATCCACAAATCGCTCGCTGCCCTTATGAAAGTCGTCAGAGGCGCTTTGGTGCCTAGCAGAGAAATTGCTTATCTCGCTAAATCAATAATCGAGCACCAAGTATACAATAATTTTAAATTGAGTTTAATTGAATTAATTTTTTTCCTTCTTAATGTAGACACCTCCCTCTTGGCTTAAGGACTGGGAAGGCCCTCCAGAACCCATGCAATTTGCTCGGACAGTCGTGTCCAAAGCTCAGTCAGTGCAGACCTGGATGCAAAAATGCAAGCAGGGGATCTTGCTAAAAGAAAATCTCAACCTTTCGGAATTGTTCCACCCTGACAACTTTTTAATTGCCTTAAAACAACAGACAGCTAGGTAAATTTGGAACTTTAATTTTTGTTTTGTTATTATCATCAAGATTTTATTTCAGACAATTTAAACTACCCCTCGTAGATTTGCAACTAACATCAAGTTTGACTGGGCAGTTGACCAGTGCGCATTTGTCGGTAAAAGTGTCTGGTCTTTACATTGAGGGCGCAAATTTCGATTCGGGAATTCTGACTGCGGTAAAACCACATTCACCTGCACTAAACGAAATTCCATCTTTCTATTTTGCTTGGCTACCCAAAGTAAGTTTGAACAATACCCAACTGAATTGCTTAAAACCGTTTTCAGAGGCGTGATTTAATTTATTCTAATTTATCTAAATTTTATTTTTGTCATAGGGATCTATTGTAAAATCGCAGCACCATGTGATAGTACCTGTGTACCAATCAATTAACAGGGAAAACCTAATTTCAAGTTTAGAACTTCCATGTTCGGGATCAAAATCACAGTGGATTTGTGCTGGAGTAGCTTTGTTCCTTCAATCACAGGAATAAAAGAACATGAAAATCACCTACAAAAATTGGCAAAAAATATTCAAGAAAAATTAGGCTATGATGTTTTAAATAAACAAATGGAATGCTTATCTGATTGTTTTGTTTTTGGGAAATTAAATTTCACGATAAGTTCAAAAATTGCTAGATCGGTATTAGCAAAAAGTTATAAATTGTGATCTAAAGAGACAGACCTGCGGAATAAAAATATTTTTTTATCTTTGCTTTAAAATTATTCAAAAGGTAATGACACGATTTTGATAAAATTTAATTGAAGTCTCCTTATTCTAAAAAAAAATGCTATAAAAATAAATACATTTATAAAATTTTATAAATATCTAACTTTTCTTTTTCATTGTCAAAATAAACGCTGACGCGGTAAAATAAAAACACCCATGTGGGAATTAAAAAATTATCACCTTAAAAATGATGCTCGTAAATTATGAACTGAACTTACGCAAGACGGCTGATGAATTAATGATGTACAAATAATCCAGACGTGTCTGGATGAGAAAAATCTCAGAGAGCGTCGTTTGTTATTGACTAATAATGCCAACAGAAATTCCATACTTTACGGCTCCTGAAAAAAAAATGAGTCAGCATGGAGTTTTAATTACGCCGAATGAATAGAAAATAGAATCAAAATCGTTCACATCTTCACATGTGAACAACGCCGCAGAGTTTTAAATAAATTCTCAATTCATTAAACCATAGATCCCTATGTAACCACAGAAAAATGAAATTTTTTTTACAATAATTGAAAAGGATTTGAATATGTACACACATAACAAAAATTGAATCAATTATGGCTCATTCTTTTACTCGCCTATTACGGATGCTCCAAGCCTCGCAGGAGCCACAAGTTGTAGGCTTTTGATCTCAATTTTTGTCTGTTCTGAGCCAAGCGGACAGAAAACGCTGCAGATTTCTGTCTGTTCTGCTCTCTGACTTGCCTGGTCTTGTACAAAGTTCAAAATATTGACTATTGACGGCAAGCGGAATGCGGAATAATTATGTACTATTTAGTTTATCGAAAAGTTCATGATGAAGGGAAGGGAGTAGGGGGGTTAGTGGGGGCACAGACAGCAGACGTCACACTGGCACGTGGCACGTCGAGTGGTGAATTCTTTTATGTGTTTGTTTTTGTTTTCCAATTTTCGACGAGTTGTGACAACAGTTATGTGGTGACTTGTGCCGATTGCAGGAATTCAAGTCGCTGTGCGCTGGCCGGTGTCCCCACCTAACGAGCGGCAGAGAAGCGGCATCGACGGCAAACGGGGCCTCGGCGACCGGCAAGCTCTCCCGCTCGCGGCTCCTTTCCTTTTAGTCGTGATCTTACACAGGTGATGGCCGGATCTTCTCATTGCCTCTCGCCGCTTGATAAGACGCGCGTGATTATCGATTCAGCGAGTGCTGCTCCAACTGCAGGTAAACAACAAAGTTTTTGTGTTTTGGTTTCTTTTTAAATTATTGCCATATGTATCAATAATTTTAGAAGAAAACAACATAATTATTGTTCGAATTTTATATACGCTTTTAAGAAATTTTACTTCTTACTTAAAATAGTTTTTCCTTTTTCAAGTATCATAATAAATTTACTCATTGCAAATTTTTTCTCTAATTAAAATAATTGAATTATGTACAAAATGGAATTGATAATTTACCCACACTAAATTATGTAGTTCTTCTGCTATTTTGCTGAATTGTTTAATCTTATAACTATTCAGAAAACTACGAAATTTAATTTTAAATTTTATATGCGAGGAAAAATGTAAAATTAGAGGGGAAATTGGAAACTGATTTTGTTGAAGCCACGTTATCTCATTTTATAGGAGGAAGCGCTTGCACAAATCAACCCTGATCAAATTGCCATTACACATTCTAGTGAAATTCCGCGCTGAGGAGATCAAACAAAGTTTCGGGACAAAGTTTTTGCGGTTTTTGCATATTAGAGGTGCGGACAATGCGTTCGTTTGTGCTGGTTCTGCTCGTGTTGGTCGGAACTCGCGTGGAGGCGGCGGGGGCGGTTCACTGCGTGTGCAGCAGCCCTGGCGAGTGCGAGCCCCTGACGGCGGACGACTGCCCCCAGGGTTCGGCCCTGGTGTGGGACCCCTGCGGCTGCTGCAGGGTGTGCGCCCGACTCGAGTTCGAGCCGTGCGGAGGCCCTGACGGTTTCCTGGGCACCTGCGCCAAAGGGCTGCAGTGCGTCGCTGACAACGCCGAATTGAATGGAGTCTGCAGGAGTGAGTACTTTTTTCTATTTCATTTCTTCATTCTTTAAATCTAATTATGCACTGATAGACGGTTCATTTATTTATTCTTCTGTGTGAAATGTTTCATTATTATAAGGTTTTCAATTTTTTTCATGTTAATAAATTGTGGAATGAAATCTTCGAAGCATTTGGAAATGCAGAAGACTCAAGTAAAATTTAAGTGTCATTAAATTAATTACTTTGAAATAATATAATACATTTGAAAAGTTTTACATTTCCGCAGTCAAAAATTTTATTTTATTATCAGTGTACAAGCGAAATGCTGTTTACATTAAATTTTTACTTTTTTGTGAGTTTTAAGCAATAGACGCATTTCAATGGCAAAATTTTCCTGGTACATATTTTATTTTTAAATACTAAAATGCTAAAAAATATGATATTTTAGAGGAAATATATGCAGGAAAAATTGTTAAATTTTTACAGAGAATAATCCTTTGCAAATAGTTTTTGTGCTTTTAAGCCACCATAAACAAATTTTTAATGATAAATTGTGATTTTAAACGTGATTGCCTTATTTTTATTTAATTAAAACCGTTATTTAAATAGTAAACCGGAAAAGCAGCGTAATTAATTGAAAAACGATCATGCTCTTATAATTGGCGCTTATTTATTTTCTCTAGCTAAAAATAGGCAAACGTACAAAATGTTTCCAGGAAGTAAAAATTTACAACACTTAATTGGCATTATTCAAAATAACGAAAATAAACCATTTTTATATTAATGTCTGTTTGAACTGAATTTATTCCCCCTGGTATAGCAACAAAGATAAACAGAGGCCATATTAACTGAACGGACTTCTTCGTAAAAAAAACCATGCACAAATCAGACTTGTCTCGCGAATGCAGCTCAGAAACGATTATTACAGGAGGCCGGTCAAAGCACCCAACCGACATCTGTGTGGGGCGAGAAGCCGTCCGCGGAGGAGAAAGACACGCTGTAAAATTTATTTATTTAATCGTTTGATGTGCGTTTTACATGTTCGCATAATCTTCGTACGGAGCCTTGATCATTTAACAGCGCTACCTTGTTTACGTCGGCTTGGAAAAAAGGCGCGCCTAATTATTTTACAATGTCAATCAACAACGGCGGCGGGAGAATAAAGGAAGCATGCAACCCGCCGACCACCAGCATAACTTATTAAACAACGGAGCCTGAGGTGGCGCGGCCCAAAATTCGTGCCAGCACGGTTTTCGCCACTGCGCGGTAATTATGTCGTTTTTGCAAAATACGCGCGGCGTTGGAGCTAAGGATCGTTACTAATGGGAATAATTAAGTGAAAAGAGAAAGGATAGTTCGCGAACTCATGCCAAATGAATCGTATAAGCGTGTGTTCTAAAATGTACCCCTTTAGACATAAAAAAAAAATATATTTCTGATTAAATTAATCAAACACAATTGATTCCCTCTAAAGAAAAGTTTGATTAACTAAAATAAATCTGAAATTGAATTCATTTTTTCACGGAAACTTGTGTGAATTTTTTGGGCATTTCAATAAGATGTCGGAATTTTCATTCTTTCACTCTGGTCGTCATATTGTGTAAAGCAATTTTTCTTACAAAAGCAATGAATGCCCTTCAAAAAATTGAGATTAGATTATCAGCGCATTTTCATGGTGTACGCATTTATTTACGCGAGCAGGATGCGGTATTTTGATAAGCTTATTTTCTGCTATTAATTGTCTGAAAACAAACTGTGGTGGTCTGGCTTGGACTAATTTTAATTTACTGCGCGATTGCACATTCCGACCGACGAAGAATCTATTTCAATCCTTTTTGCACAATGATGTGTACGTGGAATGTGAAATGTGAGCGCCTTTTAATGGTGCAACGCATAACATCATTACTCTTGAAAGCTGCCAGCTTTGCTTTTAGCCAGATATCGAGACAATCTGCCGGATTAGCTTTCTATTTTCCTCGGAATTATCAATTCAGCCGTATTTTGACTTTCAAGAATGGTAATTTGATAACCAATGTTGAAATAAGACCATCAAATGATTGACAACAGCACCTTTCTCTTTAATAATCTTGTCAAAGTTAATCTCAAAGAAAGCTCAAGATTTCCGTTTTATGCATAAAATAATTAAGTAGAGAAGAGAATTAAACAAGTTTAAAGTCAGATTTACGAGAGAATTCGGCTGAAAATGTCATTCTGTACACGCGCCATAGCGTATTGCGCAGCTAATGGAATGGGTTGTTCTGCCTAATGCTCGAAGTTATTAAAAATTTAGCGCTCCAAAAGTTGCCCTGGCAGAGAAATGTTCACAAGTTCAAAGTGGAGGAATTAAAGTTAATTGCGCACTTGTAATTCAAAACTTTGCGTCCGCAAAAGTAATCAATACCTTTGTTATCACTCCTAGCCACAAAGTGGGTCATTGTCAAAACGTTCACTTGAGTTTGGATATTTTTTTTCTCGGTGTGAATAGATTTACTATAAGTGTCGTCCTACTGCGCGTCTAATCGCAATTTGTCGCAAATACTTGAACGCGAAAATGATTTTTCCTTATCTCCGCAAAGCCTTAATTTCATGCGCTGCTGATTAGATAAGACTGGCTCTCACTCTCTCACGCCTTCATTCATGTATAAAGCGAATTGCTGGCAATATCCTCTCAAGTGTTTCTTTCTTTCTCTTCGCCAGTGCTGACATTTCGCGTCTTGCCGCAATTCGTTTCAAGGGGTCGCTCTCAAAGTTCCTTTTGTTTTTCGTTCTCTAATGAATGAAGGGCGAGTCGCCCACTTATTTTTCAATCAAAGACTGAGTGACTTCGCCTCTCCTTTTGATAATTGTGGAGAGCTTGCGAGAAAAGCACGCTGTCTGAAGAATATTTCTGCTTTTGTTATCTCTTATCTTTGGAATCTTTAGTGGCGAGATCTTCATGTGAGCACCACTGTTTAAGTTATTTATTATGTAAATTAATGTTGGATAACGGAGGAATTCCTCTTTGTGATATCAGACTAAAAACGTTTTTATGCCAACTTGAAGTAACTTTCAGCAATTAAAAAAATTGCACATGTGAAAATTTCGGAAAATTAAATTATTTTCTAATTTATCATAAAAGAATGAAACAACTTCTGCTTTTTAACGATCTAAACAGATAACAGATTAAAAGCAGCTAGTTTTTAGGTAGAGCTTGTTGTGTTGTTTAAAATACCATTAAATTAAAGTAAAATACATTATTTTTTTTTTAAGTTTCCAAATTAATTAAATGCAATTTTTAATCTTAATTGAAGAGGGGAAATTATAAAATTTAATTTGAATCCTTTCAGAAATTTTTGGAAATACGATTTATTAATATTAATTTAATACAAACATTTTTATTATTATTATTTGTTGTTCTCGTAGATAAAAAAAATTTAAAATTTGAAAAAGAGAAGAACAAATAGCAGAATTCGGTCTGGCAATACTTCCAATAACAAAAGAGACTCGGCCGCCGCGGCTATATTAAGCATAATTGCCAAATGAATTATATAAAATTTCCCTGTGTATGTAGAAGATCAGAAGCAACATATAATTACTAAATAAGTAATAAAAATAATAGCAAAAAAATCTGAGAATCTGAACATAATATAATTTTTATTTTTTTTTACAAAAGTTTTTTGCTCGAAATCAGGTTTACCATCCAAAACTAATCATATTTCTCTATCACATGCAAAATTTTGAGTTTGAAAACTAGCAAAGTTAACCCTTTTTCATGCTTGTTTTGCCGCTTTTTGCCAGTGTACGTGACAAGGTTCTCATTCCAATAATACTCTAGAAATAAAAAAGGCAAACGACAGCAAGAGTGTAAGAGCGGAAAGGTCGGCGAGCCGCAAAAGGGCAAAAGCCCGCGAGAAATAGCTCCGGCCTTGCATAAAATGTGCATATCGATCGGGGCGCGAGTTGTGGGCCGGTTCGCACGATTAATTTCGCACTTGACACTATCAATGGGCCGATATCTGCGTGTAATAATATTATTCGGCTGCCGAGGATTGATGATTGGCCGGCAGCATTCTCATCCAAAAAGCAGCGTTAGATGAATCAAGGAAAGAAAGAGAAAATGAGCCGCCGCGCCGCAGAAATCAATTCCGAGAGAAGAAGAAGAGAGGCCGCCATAAATCACGAGACGTTCGATTTTATCAGCAGCCACGCGAACCGACAATATTTTTCTACTCGTCTGTTTTAATTTGCATGGCGCTGGCGCCACTTTTTAATTACGTCCCCTGGGATCAGAGGCGAACAAAAGAGAGCCGGAAAAGAAAAGTGCGGTGGCACCCACGCCACTTTCCGACTTTCGCCCGGGCGCTTTGTGACGCAAGATTTTAGCTGGCTTTGTTTTATTTTCTGCACCGCCGGCTTTTTGATCGCTGAAATTCCCAAAGCAGTAGTTTGTCGCTCAGATCCCGTTCATTACTATTCTAAAATGGGACTCGCCTTTTGTAGGAAGGAGAAAATTTAGTTTAAATACTTCTAAAATGTAAAAATTACAATTTAATTGTATAGTTGTTTTTTTCTGCTTAACAAAACTAAAGCTTTCATGTCGGTGGTGTTGAAGTATGAAATTCGAATATTTCTTGTGGCATGAAAATCAATTGACCGAGCGCAAACGTGAAAAGACAAGCCTACAAGGTCCATGTACCATGAGCCATTGAATGCAAAACAATGTGCGAAACAGCACGGGCACGACGCGGCGAAATTTTGCTCTCCAATCTACCTGTTGGAGCGGAACAAAACGGCCGTGTTAGGTGCATTTTGTTGCGGCGCACGTTGCAAAAGTGAAGGGCGGTTCCAATTTTTGTTCAATTAAACCGTGGGAGATAAGATTGATTGCGTTTAAAAGGCTTTGATGTTTTCGATTCGAACGAGGAGACCACCTCAAAAGGTGAAGGCATGGCTAAATTGAGATTTTTTGACGCGCTTGAGAATGATAATGTTTGCACATAACGAAACGCCTTATTTATATCGCGAGGGCTTGAATAAATTTTTAATGTATTTTC